GTTGACTGGACAATCAAGTGAACTCTACTTACCCATCATCATCAGTGGTAATAAAGTCCATGCTGTCCACGAAATTACTCATCGCATCTTTCAAAGCTGCGCTTGGGAGGTTTCGGTGTTCAGTTACCACCTTGCCAGAGACAGTTATGATCTTATCCAAAGGTGGGAACCGATATGACCGCACGTCTTCTGCAAATGGAAGCTGTACTTCAATCAAGCACTCATAGTCTGCTTCAACAGATGGAGCAAGCAATACAAGCATTGGTGGTTTGGATTCTTTGGTCACCAATCGGGCAACCGCATAGGACTCTAACTCGTACAGTGCATGGATGAGAGAAGACAACGCAAGAGACGCATTGTCATTTGCACGTTGAGGAATGATAATATTCGTGTTGGACATGTGCATGTAACGGTCATACTAGTTGACGGGATTAGCTGGTATAACACATGGGATTAGTATGAAGACACACCTGATCCTTCTGAACGAACCCGATCAGCCCCATACCAGCAAATGTTTGTAGATTTGCAACATTCTCATCAGTTTGCTCGATGGGAACTGCTGTACGTCCGTACTCGTACCCCTTGGCGAGGTCATCGCGTTCAACGTCAATCTTACCCCCTGGGGCGGTTTCGTCTGTGATCTGATATGTCCGTGATGTTCGCACTGAGCTAAGAGCGTCACCTTCACCTTCACCCTTGCCTTCAACCGGTGCTTGACTTCCGGGTTCGGTGCTGGAGCGTGGCACGAACGAGCTTGCTGAGATTGGCTTGGCGACATAAGTTCGGAAGTATCGCTCCACAGGTATAGTGATAGCTGTGTCATACTCTTCGGGATTGCCGAGCATGAGGTTGCCTTTGAAAGATGGCATGCTTTTAGTCACTTTGATGCGCGGAATATCCAATTCCGAAACAGCTTGTTCTAGCGTTCCATAAACACCTTCGCAGTCCTCAGTCAGGCTTCGGAGAAGAGTCTCGTTTTCGGCCTGAGGAGAACTTGATTAACATGAATATTGGAATACATTGAAGACGGCTTAATACCTTTCGACTGTCCTTGTCTTCTTCCTTTACACCATACTCAGCGTCATCAAAATCGGCACCACTGGATGGTATTAGCATAATGCGGAGTCATATAGACGAGGAACATACATGATCACCAACTCAATGTTGACTTCTTTCATTTTTTCGATGATACCTTCGATATTGTCATCACTCATCATACCGGTACCATTGGTCACCAGAACGATCTTGCGCTTGTATTTGTTTTTCTTGGTGTACTCAATGATCATCTGCATGGCAATGACAATAGAAGAGATGGCTTGTATAATGTCAGAAAAAGCAGCTTGATGAGATTTCATCTGTCACATACCATCGCCTCTGTTAGTATTGCTGGGTTTGATCGTCTCTCGGAGTTTCCGGATATCAGGCATGAGGACCCTGAAAGGAAATTTAGTCAAGGGACCCGACATGAAACAGTCAACTCATCAAACCACACATACTGACCAAGCCCAAAGAGGATAGAGATATTAGAGAAGTTCTCTTCTTCCAAGTTGTTGATGGTTTCTACTCCGAACATGAGACAAGGCTCCCAATGGGTACTGACTGGTAGGCTACCACTTACCATCTGTCCTGAGACCGACCACGCCAACCGTAGCCGTCTTTCGGCCGGTAGCCACCTAGGATTGTTAGTGTCCTGGTATTGAGCAAAGCCAAGTCGCATACCGTGGCGGTGATCCTATCCCAGACATACTGCATGGCCCATTCGAGATCTGTCATAGGACGGCCGTGGTGGCGCTCGCCCATAGACTGTCCCATGTCTACGATGTAAACTGTAGCCTCTTTCTCCGCCATGATGATGATGGTGATGGTGGTGTTTGGGGAAAACGGCAAGTCAAAATTGCTCGAGGCTCAAAGACAATAGGCAGACGCGTGATATTTCCATTTGCGGTTTAGACCGAAACACGAAGGCACATGACATCACACGCTGTGTTTGTCGGTTTTTGGTGGTCTGTGCGTCGTTAGAAGTCAGATACGCTTGATTGGCAGTGGAAATAATGGTTTCATTAATAATTGGGTCGTAGCGATAATTACCACTTCTTCCCCTCGTTGCGACTTCACATCAACTTTATCGCCAACTCAACTCAACTTCCCCAAGGTCATACCATATCCGAAATCATGGATCCTCGCCCCTATCACGTTCTAAGGTTTGTTTATTAGCGAACGTCATGGCTCATATGCTAATGAGTGAGGTAGCTACGGCACCCTTCTAGGGACACAGTTCTTCCAGGTGAGATCAATATCTGAACCGGACGCATGGTCGAATCGTCGCCTCTAAAAGCATTGTCTGACATATCCGAAGTCTTTTGTTGGAGGCTTCGTTGCTTTCCGCGCCCTTCCGCGGCCTCAGTTTGCTAATCTGCAAACCGCCATCTTCCCCATATATTTCTCACTGCAATCTGCGCTACCTATAGTGGTCGCCTTGACCGCTTCCCACGGGGGACAGGTATTGGGTCTGTCAGGTCTCGCTGCACCCGAGAACCGCCTTAACACTCTCTTGCCTCTGGCAACTGTGACAGTGACCGGATTGGTGAACATGTTCGTGTTGCGTCCCATCACCACCAACGTGATGCGCGAGCGCAAGCATCAAGGTGCGTTAGCTGCTGCCACCATGCTTGGGTAACATTCAATTGAATATTCTAACCTTCGCAGAAACTCGTGATGGAAAGAGGAGCTACGACCCGGCGCCCCATTCCAAGGAGATGCTGGCTCTGAACAAGAAGTTCGGCCGCGTGCATGGCATCTCAAGTTTGGTCAATTTGATCAGCCTGGTTGCTACAGTCTGGTACGGTGCTGTTCTAAGCAAGAGACTTGAGTAATTTGACATCAGCAATCAATAGCGATACTCAATAGGAGGTTCGATGCATATAGTTTTTGTGCACATCTCGTTCATTTCCATCTCCCGCTCTTGTGCCAAAGGCTATAGATACAATCTAAGCCTTTTTCTGCCTGCGCCTGTCTACTTAGGAAAGTTAAGGAGAGCAAGCTTTCTATATAAAGGAAAACATGTAAAATGACTAGTATACTGGAACATATCATTCTCAGCGACAGAGGCCACAAATGTGGCCTACTATTCTTGTACTGTATAAAAAGATCGATTGCTTTAATTTTCAAGCTAGTAATCACAGAATGGATGTTGAAGTCACCTAGAGAGTAAGAAATTGAAATACGGCCACTTCGGTCCTTCTTTGGCAGGCACACTCGATGTTGAAACCACGCAATGGAATCAATCAAAGCAACGCGAGAGCAATAAATGTTTAGGGCAAAACCAACCAATCGTTTAGGGATATTCACCTCATTGCATGCAACTTCCAGAGGCCGGCTTTGTATCCCTGAACAAAGGGCCATGCGGGGAAACGAGTCAGGTCCAGCGAATATCACCTTGTTGGGTAATATACATGGGTGAGCGCCACTGATGCAATACATAAAAGTATCTTTATTGCACTAGTAACATGCGACCATGCCAAAGGATGCCGGACTTCTGTTCGAGTCGATAGAGGATGCTGGGTATTTGAACACCCATTTGCCTCATTCATCTAGGCAACTTACGAATTCGAGATTATTTCTATCAGCAAAATCCGGAGAAATACTTGAAGGAAAAACTATCATTTTTGCCCTCGGTGATAGAACGTTCTTTATCAATACATCTAATAGATATTGCTGTTGATGGTCTTATAAATGCAGAACTGGGCTGAATTAATTAATATATCTTTCATTGATGATTTATGCATGACATATTAGATAAAATACTTGCACCGTAGTCATTCAAAAATATGTTTCTTGAGGGTCTCGACTTAGGATTAGCTGCTTCGCCTCCTGTAAAAAGTACTTAAAAGTAGTTCAGTCTCTCTGCACCTTGGATTTATCGTACCGGGTCCGTAGCCTTGTGCGTTTCCGCGATTACTCGTTGTCTCCGACAAGTTATATAAATAAATATCACACACCTAGCATGTGATAGTGCCTCGAACCCAAGAATTCGAGTTCTAGAGCACTGGTTATATGCGTCCCCAAAGCAATAACATCAATGCGTTAGTTACGGATCACAATTTCTTAACTCTCGAAGATATTTGAGACCTGGGCCGAGGCGACTATCTTCACGGAGGATGAGTGGAATGAGTTCCGAGGTCTTTCCTTCACATATGTACGCTGCCTAGTAGCGAACGACCAAGTTGTCGGGACTGACGGTGTCAAGTACTGCGTTACTAGCAGCGAATTGAACACTTTTCTGACAATGAATACGAGGACTTGGGCAAAAGTACAGGATACTCACAAACAATTACGTTGTCCGCCCCACTCTAACCCTGATGTGGTCACTGCACGGACTTCGTTGTAGTAGGAGTTCGACTTTGCAACCCCGAGTTTACACAAAGGATTAACGGAATTTGTATATAACTACCTATTGCTGGATTAGTATACATCGTACGGAGTAGATATCAGCCAAACCTAATGGGGCGTGGCTGGTACAAATTACACCTTGTGGGCCTCCACCCGTTGCAATACACCCCTGATTGGCCGAGAAACAGCCCCTTTTTAGCACTATGGATCATCACACAGGAGTGAGCTAATCAGCTTCGGGCGATCAATACGCTAGATTGTTGTTTAACCACTTAGATTATCCAACTAACGCCATTCAAAGCCGTTGCACGTTGCACGGGGATATGTACTCCAAGGAAAAAAGTACGTCCTACAGCGGCCCTCTTTACTCGAAGGAGTACTTATCCGGCTGACGGTGCAAATCATCGTGGGATACAACGTGGTAACGCTGGACCCGACAACCTGGGACGCTAACAGCTGCATCGAAGACAGAGGGGTCATAAGGGGGGTCCTAGGACTGCAATCGGTGTGCCTGCAATTTTCACTTTTCACTTTTTTCCTGATCCCTTCGATCACTTATAACGCGCTTTCGCTGAGTTCGCGTGCTATCCTATAGACCGAAACTATTGAAGATGCATCGAGCTACACAACACGGATCGACCCCGGTTGAACCTGACGTTAGTGTTTCTCTTTTTTGTGCACTATTTCCTATTCAACTAACATCATTAGTCCGATGCCGAGGCCTCATCATACCCTGATTCGTAAGACCAGTGACTTATGATGGTGTGTATATCTACTGACCCTGATAGACTTGACAATGCCAGTTACACCACAAGTATCACATCGAGCGTGCTGGACTATCAGTATGTTAATGTAACTGAAATATTTGTTCAATGGTTGCTAATAATCGCAGATATGAAGTGTGTTACAACGCTACTTGATCACGGATCACGAACTGTGCTGATCAGATACAGAACGGTCGCAGATATCATTCATATCATGAAGGGGAATACATTTTGGTACATGACCCTATCAACGATTACTCTCTGTCTTAGCCTAATGTCCAAACAGCCAAATGATGAACGGGAACAAGACCGTCTTGATCTGGTTAGTTCTCACCTGCTGATTCTGATGACACAAAAATTTTAATGAGCAACAGAGCCACCACATTTACCTAATGCTCCTCAAAGGAGAATTGTTCCAGGCACCAATCAAAAATCCAAAGCGAGTGCTAGATCTCGGGACAGGAACAGGCTTATGGGCAATCGAATATGCAGAGCAAGTTCTTCTCCAATATATAAAGTCTACCCTCTAACAAGAAATATAGTACAAATCCAGACTGCGAGGTGATTGGTATGGGCATCTACCTACATCCTGATCAAATCTTTGGCTAATTGAAATAGGAATTGACCTAAGTGCTATTCAGCCATCATGGTATGTGCCACTGCTACTATGTTGGTTCCCTATATAATATTGATATATGTCCAGGGTGCCTCCAAACTGCCGCTTTGAGATTGACGACTTTGAACAACCATGGTCGTACAGCAAACCATTTGACTATATCCATGGACGCGAATTGGAAGGTTCCATCCGTGACCATGACCTTCTTTTCAAACGGGTACTTAGCAACCTGAATCCCAATGGATGGTTTGAGATAGCGAGCTTCGACGTCAACACTTATTCGGACGACGGAACTCACCTTGGCGCAACCAACCTTCTCTTATCCATCAAGCACATGCATGAATCAGCGCGCATGTTTGGCAAGGATATGACATCGTCCCCATCCTGGAAAACGCGGATGGAGAAGGCTGGGTTTGTGAATGTCAAAGAAGATATCTACAAGGTATGTTCCGCCATCTCTTAACGAAAATGGAACCGCTTGCTTATTGATGAATAGCTGCCCCAGAGTCCATGGCCTAAAGACCCCAAGCTCAAGGACCTTGGTCGGTACCATCAGCTCAACATGCTTGAAGCTATGCCTATTTATACATATGCGTTGTTTTCAAGAGTGCTTGGGTGGACACGCTCCGAGATTGAAGGGCTGTTGGCAGGAATTCGAATGGAGCTGCGAGATACATCGCATCACCTGTACACAAAATTGCGGGTGGTTTACGGCCAGAAACCCGGAGAACCTATGAGTGCCTAACTGATCTGAATAGAAAATTCACATCCCAGAATTTGTGTTTGATGGATGCTTCTAAATTTAGAGTTAAGCGTAGTTCACTAACATCCCCACTATTAATGCCTCGATACTCAGGCAAAGAACTTTCATCGTACAGTGGTGTTTCATGAGTATTTGACCTTGGGTACTTCGAGTCCCACCTTAGGCTCCGACCGCCATTTTAGACCGCCTACTATATTAGTATATTAAACCTCGCGCGCCCTGCACTGTTTTCTTATTCTCTAATTGAATTGGATTGAATTTCGGAGGTTTCTGCCTAGCAATATTAAAAGTGGGCCTACAAAGTGGGCCCAGGCCGAAGTACTCAAGGTCAAATACACATGAAACACCACTGTAACTATAGTTTGTTAACTAGGGGATACGCTTCGGATACGCTGTAGCGGGAAATGAAAATATGTAATTCTGTTTGTTTTTGCCACCCTGATTCATTTCTGTCTCTTATTTTCTGTTTTCTTTCCATTCTCTTAGTAGCTCCATTCGAGGTCGACAGCAAGATATAGATGCAGACAGCAGTACTTATGATGTGAATTAGAATATTATAAGTTATGAATTATCGTTCTATCTTGAAGGAAATAGCCAAATCCTCAACATCCCAAGAGGTCCGCTAGCGAAATGTGACCGAAAGAAGGGTAACGCCATGTTGGAAAATAGTCCCCATCTATGTTTCGCAAAGCAAGCGCCATTATTTTGAAGGGGTTCGTCGGTATCATGAAAAAAAAAGAAAAGAAGTTGAGATGCTTGTGGAAAACAACTGGCCAGGTTGATAGTAGGAAGGTCGCATATCTTGTATGGCCACGATCGTCGAAGTATTAGGAAAGACTTGGCCTTTCCCTATCTCGAAAAAGTTCCACTCCTTTCCCATCTTGGCAAGAATATTGAGTCCTGTATATTTCTTCAAAACAACATTAGATGAGATCAGTTTATGATGTATGCGGCAGACTGTAAAACACTCACCATTGTCAAGCTATCTGTGCGCTTGTCCACAATAACGGCCCGGTGGGAAAGTGTACTCGTCATCAATGCTCTCTTTGGCCGCCATGAGAGGTCCCCACTCCTTTTTTATCTCCTTCCAATGTTTTTTCAAGCGCTGGAGAGGTGAAGGATGTGACTCCTGCAGGGTGGCGTTGAGATTCACGACGGAGGAGGACTCTGACTTGCTCATTCTAGGGATCGATTCTTGTGAACCGATATGATCAATATGTTGAAACATGATGTATTGACAATCCGTAAATTTATTGATCTCAAGTTTGATTTGTATTTGCGCGGCGGTTTCGCTCCTTTATATGATGACATGTGAAGTAGGGGTCGTCTGAAATTTGTGAACCGGTCTCACCCGACAGAATACCGAGATATCACCGCCGAGGTATCTCCGCATCTACCCTGAGGCATTTTTTTTCTCCTATTTGAATTTGATACTTGAAGTCTTGAAGTTGTTTTAATAATTTCCATTATATGAGATCATTGCCAATATTGGGTATTAGCAAGTTCTTATCTTCACGCCAGATGAGTCCTTCTATTGGCTGTGGAAGCACGGCAACATGCACCATTGGAGAAAACGGACAGGTATAGAAGAAGAAGTGAGTATACCGTAAGAGGGAGAACCCTGGAGACGTGAGCTAATTAGATATGGAACATGTTGGGCATATAACTAAAATTACATCGGGCTACCTAGGACTAGTGAGTGGGTCTTGACACCGAAAACGTCTACGGGTCTTCCCGAAGTCGATGCCTAAGCGGCCTGGGTTCCAGCTCGGGGATGTTACTAGCCCCGGGCTGGCCAGTAGCTAAATTATGAATGAGATAAATTACAACTTGATATTGAACTATATCAACAATGACATTCTAAATGGGGTTTTTTCTATAGCCTCGAGATTTTTTTTTATATCTAGCCACTCGAAGAAGTTTCAAGAAACCTAATAAAGATGTGTAATGACTGTGATATAATTCTAGAGTTCAGTGATGTAATTTTCAATACCATAATAATGTAAATTTTCGATTTATCTGAAATTGATATATACTACTGAGAATGGTTGTCGATAGCTATCGACAAGTAATGAAACTAAATAGAAACGTGGTTGCCAAGATATAACGTTGCATTTACTTTGTGTTTTGGGACGGTCAATCAGCTTACATGCCTGAGGTCTACGGGTGGCCAGCCCGCTGACCGAAGACGTTAGCAGGCTCCGATTAGAATTGGGACAGCAGTCGTACTCGAGCGATCATATTTTGAGAAGAGATGATTTCATCATAGACGGTAGAAATCTGCTGTAGGACTAGAGTGGTTTATAAAATTCCAGATCTTGTGCTTCTTACTATATCTGAGAGAATTGGAAAGATCTCATGAAAGACAGTGGAAAAAGAAAACACGCCAGACTTTACCTATTTTGCCCTCTGTTTACTCTCTCTCTTCTTTGAAAGTGGGTTCTAGGCACAATTGAATCAATTTCCCGAGCAAACGAATTCCTTTTCAGAGTTACCTCCATAGCCGTATAATGATTCCCCATCGGTCGTCGAAATCACTGTCCGTCGTGATGAGGCTCATCGATGTTAGAATAATATTGACCAATGATATGTGATACCGCTTGTCCCCGCCAGTCCCTATCCGTCCCCACTAGCCATGCCGCCAATCGGAGCCCTCAATTAGCCCGCGGGGGATGGACCGCGGACTTTGCCGCGGTTTAAATCAATCAGACCATCTAATCCAAAGAACTGTGATTGTAAAGTATTTAAAGCTCTCAAACGGAGCGGAAAAGGGACAAATAAGGAAACTAAATTCCATTCAAGGTCAATAAATCTACCGGAGAATATGAAAAGCGAATCTGTAGTGGTCATCGGGTAAGTGAGAGCCAAAACATACATGACTGTTTCGGGGTGTTGATACTGATTTTTGTAAGGGCCGGCGTGATCGGGCTAAATGTAGCCCTAGTTCTCTGCGAAAAGGGCTATAGCCAGTACATAACCATCATTGCAGAACATCTTCCAGGAGATACTTCCATAAATTACACATCACCATGGTATGTTGGGCTCCTGCTGCCAGTTCACATTCAAACGACTAACCCGAATTCAGGGCTGGTGCCAATTTCTCTGCTATTTCTGCAAGCGACCCAAATGCGTTGCGGTGGGACAAAATTGGATATATGTATCTTCTCGATCTTGCTGCCAAGGATGGCAAGAATGCATTTGTGAAGGAAACACCATCGGTAGAGTATTGGGATGAGCTTCCAGCCCATGAGAAGATCGATTCGATGGCCGCGTATCTCAAAGATGTGAGTTATGGATGAGTTCCTTGCTTACCCTAGATATGCTTATCAATATTACCATCGAACAGTTCAAACAGATTGCCACACACGACCTGCCAGCGGGTGTTGCATTTGGTATAGAGTTCACAACAATAACTCTCAATGCACCAATGCACCTTCGGTATTTGTTCCAGAAGCTCACCCAAGAATATGGGGTGCGAGTCATTCGCAAAAAGTTATCCAAAGTCTCATCCGGCTATATCAGCACGGATACGAAGGTGGTATTCAACTGCACTGGCAATGCAGCGAAAGAGTTACCGGGAGTCCAAGACTCAAAGTGTTTTCCCACTAGAGGTCAGATTCTGCTTGCAAAAGCACCTCATGTTCAACAAAACATCATGAGACATGGTAAGGACTATGAAACCTACGTGATACCTCGACCATACTCGAATGGAAAAGTGATCCTTGGTGGATTCATGCAAAAGAATGTTGGGTAAGTAGGTTCCTTTCAGCCCTTTGTCCCAGTAGCATTAGTCCATTGGGATTTTCTCCCGGGTGTTCCATATGACAGCAACTGAACTATATCAACAGTACACCGGATACATTTGGAGAAGAGTCAGAATCAATCCTTACTCGAACAACGGCTTTGCTTCCTGCTCTAAACTCAAGCGAGACTGAGATTCTTGGTGCTTTTGCTGGGCTACGCCCATCTCGCGAGGGTGGCGCTCGCGTTGCCAGGGAGAACGTGAAAGTAGGCGCTTCAGGACGTCGGGGGGTTGTTGTCCATAACTATGGCGCCGGTGGAACCGGTTACCAGGCTGGATACGGAATGGCGGTTGAGGCAGTCGACACTGTGATTGAGGAGATCAACGCGCTTAATACTCAGTCGCGTCTTTAGATGTTGTTCGCAGTGTCCACTTTGGGTGTATTTTTGCGGTGTGGCTTTATTTAGATTTCATTGACCAGGCAGAAGCATTGGATCGACATAAGCCAAGAAGCTTGCGAACTGGGAATTTAATGTAACTATAGAGCCAAAACTTTGATCCATTATTCATGTCGTATCGTCCATCATAAGTTACAGAACAATCACACCGCTCCTGTTCAGCGTTCGGAAGCCATGCAGTGGTACGATCACCGAAACTCTGCCATGGCATTCATTCCACTTGCTTCGTAGCTTGGAGGGGAACTTTGATAGCTATGGGAGTATTCATTATCGTCATCATATTGTGTCACCACGATTTTCGGTATAGGTCGCTCAGGTTTCACAGGCAAAAGCTCAAAGTCAGATAGAACAGTCGTCTCAGATGGAAGTTCCAAAATCGCAGAAGCGACCATTGAAACCTCAGATGGAGAGAAAAATAATTCATCCTTGCCCAAGGTGAGTTGTAGTGAGCCAAGATGGCTAAGAACCGTCTTGACTTTGTCATGAGCAAGAAGCACACGGGATTCCTTTTCCAGGGTGACCTCGTAGTCACGACGCTTCCAACTGCAGCGGTTCTGTGGGCTGCTCTGTTTGAATCGCTTCACAGACGCAGCTAAATCATTGGCGGCAGTTTCGGCACCGGTGATGGTCGAGTTGATCCACTCAAGCTCGATCTCGCCGAGGAGTGCTCTTTTATCATCCCGCAACTGTCTTGCCTGCTTCACCGTGGACCTGACAAGTATAGTTGCTTTGTAAAACCCTCCGATCTGCTCCTCCAGAGATAGTGAAGGTCCGGTGACCGAGGCAGATTTGATTGATTTCACTTTTGTGGAGCGTGACGTGGTCTTGGGATTTGGAGATGAGTTTGTTGACTGCGAGTTGAATGCCCGTGAATAAAATCGTGATTGTGGGGGCGTTTGCTCTTGGGTTTGCCCATCGCGTGCTCCAACCTGTTGTGTTGTGTCTTCAACACGAGCGACTCGGTGTAACTGGTCTGCTGACTGATTCCGTTTTGATACCGGTCGATATAGCATCAATTCAGTTGACTGGTGACACCTATCCGTCGAATTATTTATTGTGTTTGCTGGTTTGTGCCTGATTTCCATTATCGATTGATGGTAGCGATACTTTGAATTATCCCACATGGCCGTTGAACGACTGATGAGGTCCCTCGTCGATTGTTGCAGTTTCCCTATCAACTGGGCTTTTGGCCGGTGTGCGAAGTCGGTAGGTACCATTTTAAGACAAATGCACCTGTAACTTGGAAACGGATATTTCTGTCTTGGATGTCTTGGAGAAAGGTGAAATCTGGAAGACAGAAAGATGGAGGCAATCCAAGGTAAATAAGTTTCTCATGATACATAGCCCGATTTTTCCCAATCAACCACTTTCAGGTATGTTGGTTGCCAGCAAAACGTGGCGATGCTGTAAGGCTGTGTGCTGATAGGCAACGTAGTTGGAATAATGTAGATCCACACTCATAATTGGTCAACTTTTCGGGCATTTCTAAATTTGGCTTTGGATGATGGGGCCAAACTGCCTGGGGGCTTGTGCTGCCCAATTGGCGTGGACTTCAAAGGTTCGAATTTCAAAGTATATTTTGGTCGATACGAGGTTATCCCCCGATCCTGACGGGGTATAGCCCCGAAGGAATGGTGGAAACCCCATGTTCTTCATCACGTGATGCCACGTGATATCTTGGCAATTGATGTCGTCATTTCATATTTCCCCGGATTATCTACGATGGCCGTAATTGACGGAAATTCTTCAGATGAAATACACTCCAATTAGTCCACAATAAGGTTAATTCCGGTGGGATAACCCCGGGATACTATGTATCTCAAAAAATCAACCCGTATTTCTTTTTTACGAAATGCGGTTATAAAAGCAGGATAATGCTGCCAATGGAGATATAGAATACCAGTTCCAACATATGTACCAAACATGAGAATTCCACAGGTCCTTGCTTTTGCTGCAGCTACAGCTGCAGTGACAATCTCGCGCTCCAAGCAATCTTCTCCTGTCCCGCTCACAAACGTGACCATCTTCTCACCACCCTCCGACTACATCGTCCCACGAACACTTTACCCACGTAACGAGCAGCTTCCTAATGGTGACCTTCTCGCAACATGGGAAAACTACTCTCCAGAGCCACCGGCGGTTTACTTCCCCATATACCGCTCCAAGGACCACGGAAAGACCTGGAACGAGATCTCCAAGGTCCATGACACTGTTAACGGATATGGCCTGCGTTACCAGCCATTCCTCTACTCCCTGCCCGAGCGCATCGGTTCATTTGAAAAAGGCACTCTACTTCTAGCTGGTAGTAGTATTCCAACTGACCTGTCGTCCACACACATCGATCTTTACGCGTCGCAAGATGATGGCGTGAATTGGAAGTTTGTTAGCCATATTGCTGCCGGAGGAGAGGCACTGCCGAACAATGGACTGACTCCTGTATGGGAGCCATTCCTACTTGCTCAGTATGTTCTTATATTCTGCCTTGAAATAACTCCCTAACTCCTTTCACAGTAAGGGCAAGTTGATTTGTTATTACTCGGATCAGCGGGATAATGCAACACACGGACAGACAATGGTTCACCAGGTCTCAACTGACCTAAAGAACTGGGGAGATATTGTAGAGGATGTCACCTACCCGACATATACCGACCGACCCGGCATGCCAGTTCTGACCAAGGTAAGCTAAACCCAAGACACCAATGCAATTACGATGGGTTTCTGTCATACCCGGAGAATTCTAACATTTCTAGCTCCCGAACGGTCAATACTTCTACATATATGAGTATGGCTCCTTCTTCGGTACATCAAGCTACTCCTTCCCTATATACTACCGTCTGTCGTCCGACCCCGAAAAAATCGCCTCCGCCCCAGGCCAGCGTCTAGTTGTCTCGAGTGGTACTCGGCCGACATCTTCGCCTTACGTTGTGTGGACACCATACGGTGGTAAAAACGGCACTATTATCGCCAGCTCCGGCACACAGAGTACTCTGTTCATTAACAAAGCTCTTGGCGAAGGAGAGTGGACAGAGATCACTTCGCCCGAAGAGCACGGCTACACACGGTCTCTACGAGTGCTGTCGGAGGATGGAGGTCGATACCTGGTCATACATTCTGCTGGAGTGCTATCTGGCACCAATAATCGGGTCTCCGCAAGTGTGATGGATTTGAAAGAGGCATTGTAAACTAAAAGATAATTTGTGGCGGCAGACCTCTCATACTAAACGGGTTGACCTCCGAACACGAGTCCAAGAGCTATGGACTGTATCATCCTTGTTCGAGGGCTTTCATAAGATGAACCTTGACTTCTTCAAGTGTGCACCACTTCACATAGAGACAGGCCGCCTAATACTGTCGCCTAGATTAATGTCTGACTTCTTGAGTTTCCTATTGGAGGCAACCGCTGCCTCTAGAAGAGCCGAAAAAAGCTATAGCATGGTACTTAACCATGCTCTTCCAGGGGTTGTGTATGGTTTTCTGAGGTTCAATCCGAATGGCTCGAAATCCAAGCTGATGTTTATCCCGCGCCGGCTGAGGAACCCGGCATCATTCTTTGCAATTGGATTTGTATCTCGGGAAAAAACCGAGTGCTTAAGCTGCAATCTTATGATAGTGTGATTCTTAACCGTATCGGATTTGATTATGTTGAGATGATCTGCCACTAAAGCCTGATATGCAGTATGCCGAGCATATGCAGCAATGACCATTGTGCTCTGCTGCCCTTCGTGTCTTACACTCAAATTCACAACAAATCCCTAACTAATCTTTATTGCATTGAAATCACCTATGATTCCTTCAAGGCATTTTTGCGCACTATCATACCGACTTTTGAGGAACAGTCCTTGAACTTGAGGGGTGTATCTCTCTCTAATGCACACCGCGAAGACGTTTTGACAGCTTGCCAGGGAAAGTTTATACTGGGAAGATGATTTAACCTCTACCTAAGCGAGCTCTAGTGATTTTGGAATTGCTACAATGCTCATAGATCTAGTGAATCTAAAATATAAAGCACAACCTTCCCTCAAGCATCAGCCCTTCCATTAACATAATTATAAGCAAAAATTGGCAGCAACAAATGACTGCAACTTCCCTCGAGCCGTCGCGCACGCAAGACCTCTCCACTTCCCTCAAGAATAAAAAAATCACGCTTTAACTCTATTACTTCTCAACTCACGCTTTGTATGAACCTCGACAAAACCAAAGCTCGCCGAACCGACAGATATCAAGACACTTCCTCATTCACAGACTACCAACACCGCTGCGACACATACCCACCCACCAAATCAACAACAACATCAAACAGACCCTGGTGGACGTCCCACAAACTCCGCATACTCAATAACCTCCTCATCCCCAACTCCATCAAAACGTCCCAATCTCGCAACAGACTCACCCGCCCTAACAACATGCATCTCAGTATGCGCAGCAAGTTGCACGAGAAAAACACCACCACCACCACCACCACCACCACCCGCAGCGCCAGTACCAAGCACGCGCTCTCCCAACTGCCAAGCATTCTGGTGATCCTGTTCCTGGTAACACTGTGGTTCCGTCAGCGCACACCTGCCCAAAAGCGGAAGTTGAAGACCCGCATGCAAAAAGAGCGCCTCGTACGCCGTCTGCGCGCAAAGCGGTAACTCCGCAGCCTCTTCCCTCCCGAGACCTGTTGGTTTGAGTGCGACTTCATTGGTTGTGACAAGCACATACGATGACCATGTTGAGCCGCGGTCTATGGAGGTCATGCCGAAGACGGCGGGTTTCAGGGTTGTTGTTGAAGCTTGGGAGATTGATGCTACTGTGCCTGAGAAGTCGTGCTCTGGGATGGTGTAAATTCGGTGTATTTATCGGGTCATGTGAGCATGCTGCAGATTATGGTTGTTGATTTGATATGGATTAGGAGCTGGTTTGAGGCGGTCGGATTTGGTTGGGAATATGGTGTTGCGGAGGGTGGTGCTGCGTGGACACGGATGGATTGCATTTTACGGGTTTACCGGTGTATAAATTTGTGTGAGAGATATGGTTGAGGGGCAGATTGAATGGATGTCTGGCTTTTACGTCCGAGTTGAAGTATGGTTCTGCAGATAGCAATTGTATGCCTCGGTGAACGAACTGCATAAGAGATATTAATGAGTTTCATTAGCTATGGAAGTAGTCACAGGAGCCATGTCTTGAGAAAAAGAGAATATGTGCAAAAACGCAATGTTGGCTGTACAACATCAAGAGAATTGACTCATGTGGACATGTGTAGTTATCCTCCAGTTTCCATTCCAAAAAGGAAGATCATTTACTCAACCGAGGGCAAGTCGGCCGATAGTGGCAACTTGCGGGATGAGTTGCCGACATACACCTTCTTCTGGGCGTCGGAGATCACCCAGTTCTGTGAGGCAACGTCCCAGTTGGAGACATCACGACGGGTCAGAGTGGTGGTCCACTGCAGGGTCTGACCAGGGGCAATGGTGACTCGGTCAAACTGGCGCAAAACCTTTGAGGGGTTATCATCGCCGCCGAGGGAGACATACAACTGAGGAACCTCGTCACCAGTTACGGAGCCGGTGTTAGTGATAGTGGCGGTCACTTGGTAGAGATCTTTGAACAGACCAGGGTTGCCGCCGGAGCTGCCGCTAGAGGGAAGAAGGTCCTGCGGAGAATCATCGGTAGCACCCTCAGGAAGGTAGTCCTTGGAGTCCATGCCGTAGTCGGGATCACCGGACGATGCACGTAAGTCGGTGGAGTTCAACCACGGGTAAAGGTACTGGCGGACGCGTGTAATTCCCTCGGGGAACAGGTTATCCAAGACCTTGCCGGCTTCGCCGAGAACAGGGGCCTTTTGGCTCTTTCCAGTCGTCGCCTTGTACTCGCGCTGTTCGGATGAGGCTAGAGGGGTGACCTTGAGGTCGGAGAAGGCAAAATTTGTGTAGCTCAGACCATAACCGAACTCGTAGATGGGCTCCGTATTGTCTTTATCGAAACGGCGATAGTCAATGAAGACGCCATCCTCAAAATTAACCTGAGGAGCATCGACACCGTTATTGGGCACCGTGAGGATAGGAGGGCCGTAGTCCTTGCGAGTCTTACCCCAGGTAAATGGAGTCTTACCGCCAGGGTTGACGCGACCATACAATACGTCCACCAAGCTCCGACCGCTCTCCTGGCCTGGCAAGCCAGCCCAAACAATGGCGGTAATGTTGACATTGTCATACCAATCGCTAATCAGAACAGCGGATGTACTGTGAATCACGACGATAGTGTTGTTGCAGTGCTGACTAGCAGCTTTGATGATCTCCTCTCCGTTCTTCCAGAGCGTCAGGTTCTTGCGGTCACCCTCGTTGCCGTCAACGCTGATGTATCCCTCACCAGCGTCGGCGTTCACGAAAACCAGGGCAACATCAGCCTGGGAGGCAAGGGCGGCCATCTCCGTGAGGGCCCAGTTATCAGTCACAGCGAAGACGTTGGTCTGTCCGTTACTGTATTCCAGGACTTCATTTTGGATGGCTTGCTCGGGTGTAATCAGGTAAGGAAAGTTGGCGGTTCCACTACCCCAGCCCATGGCCAAAGTTCCGTTGTCACAACCACGGTCGCTGCAGCCATTGGCGCCATAGGCATTGGAGCCTGCGTCTTCTCCTATAATGCCGATGAATCTCTCATCATGGGTAAGGGGCAGTGCACCAGCCTTGTTCTTAAGCAGAACAATGCTGTCAGAGCCAATCTTGCGGATGATCTGGGCATGGTCACGCTGGACATTTACGTGCTCGTTGACCTTGCCCCAGCCCTCGCTTACCATAGAGTGCTCGAAGTTGTACTCATCACGGGTCCAGGAGCTGAAGTTGGGAGGAGTGCGGAAGCGGTCACGTCCAACCTTGTAGTAAGCAGACATTATCCGGACAGCCATGTCATCGAGGCGCCATTCGGGGACGGTACCGTTTAAAACGGAGATGGTTAAGTTGGTTGCCCAGTAGGAGTAAGGGCTACCGAGAATTACATCACCGGGCATAGACATATCGAGACCGGCCAGAGCAGATTCGACACCGCTGTGGTGTGCACCCCAGTCGCTCATAACAAATCCCTGGAAGCCAAGCTCGCCCTTGAGCAACTTATTGAGGGAGTAGCTGTTTGCGCAACTGTAGCTGTTATTGATCTGATTGTAGGAACACATGACAGAGCCAACACCAGCACGGATGGAGTCCACGAAGGGCCAGAGGTACAACTCGTGCATAGTCTTGTCGTCAATGTTTGAGCTCATACTCTGGCTGATGTTGTACCCGAATCCCTGAGCCTCGCCGGGCTGACGAAAGTGTTCCTGTTCATTTCCAATGAAGTGCTTAGCACAAGCAATGATACCGGCATCCTGCATACCCTTGATGGTTTCGGCCATCATCACACCAGTCAAAACGGGATCAGGCGAGAACCCCTCCCAGTTACGACCGCCATCAGGGTTCTTCCCTAGAGGGCCAGCAACAGGACCCAGTTGCACATCCACACCTTTGTCACGGTGCTCTTCTCCCATTGCCACACCGCGCTGGTAGGCAAGTCGCTTGTCCCATGCTGCGGCAACATTGACACCAGAGGGGAAACCAGAGGTGTAATCACCTGTTCCAGTCTCATTAGTTAACCGCAACGACAAGCTTATTTGGAACTGGCAAGCTTACTAGAGCGAACACCCAATGGAGAGTCCTGCATACACATTCCCCACATGCCAAGTCGGGGAATACTACCGGTCTCACCAACACATCGTTCTTGCTCCCAGCCAGTACCGGTTGTCAAGTTGACTTTTTCGGCCAGTGTCAGGTTTGAGACAAACTCGACGGCTCGGGTGTATGCTTCGGACCACTCGCCCTCGCCAGTCATCCATGGGGAGGGATAGTATGGAGGAGAATAGGCCAGGGACTATTTTCATGTGACTTGGTTAGCAGTGATATTGTCAACCGTTTAAATTGGACTCACACTGGCACTGGTCACCGAGGCCGACAAGGCGGCTACCTCAAACCACGCGAGCTTCATTACTGTGAAAGCGCTGGATAGGATCTCACAGGGCACAAGTATTGAAAGAAGAGGGCGTGAGGAAGGAACAAGCCACAGATCTCGGAGGGGAAGACTGGGATCTTAAATGTTCTGTTTCCTGATTACTCACAGGGGCTATAATAGAATGCATAGCGTATATATCTACTCCATAAAATGAGATCAAATGAGATCAACAAAAATAATAAAAATGGAGAAAAGGATCGACAAAATATGCACTATCCCACTAATCACATTATATCGTGTCCTATCATTGGATATGACTTATTCTTATGGAGTATGTACTCCGTAGTCTCATTGAAGTTGGAGAGACACTCATCCTTGAAAGGGGACACAAGGTACAAATTGTGGCTGGTCGAGACAAGGAGAAACGCAGGGTGAGAAGTCAACCCCTTTCCCAAGTACATCACCAGAATTACCCAGCCACTCCGTTTTACACGACACAGCATACGGAGTACACTTCTAGAGCCATTGATTTCCGAATCCATCGCCTTGCTTCGATTCCGTATACGACGGCGAAATATCGGCGTCTCACGTCGACGTCGTGACGATCGTAACACCGCGCCCGCGCCTCTTCCCCGCTAATTCTAATTCTAATTATTCGTTATATATTGAACAAGCAAAAAAGTCGTTGGTAATTCTTCTTGGAATTCAGCTTCTTATGCTGTGGTGGTATACAGAGTAGAACTATGGAGTACACATAATGTCGGCTATCCTAAATTCCTAACCATTCCGTGGCAGATACCTCACCACTCTTACCTGATCAAATAAATATACGGAGATGACTTTCAATATTCTAATCTGATCTAGCCATCTTCTCACGTCCAACTGATCACCGCTCGTCCTGCCGGATGGGGAAACCCTTCTTATTACGTTACTTCGAGAGAGTGTGGGGAAGCACACCTGAACTCAATTCTCAATTCTCAATGCTAACAATGCTAACAATCCTATTACAAAAGTGTTCCGTGCATTTCTGTTCGGCTTCAAGACAGCATGCTGTATGTTTCGCTCTAACATAAATGCATTGTCTATTTCCTACACAAACATCTTTGTGGCACAACAAGGACTGCTCCATCCGTAGCTAGGCTTTTTTGCTGCCGTGGAGATCGGACCCCGCATTGACTTAGGGATGCTCCAACACCTCTCTATGTAAGTCTGACTATCCCAGAACTCTACTGCCCGCAATTAGAAAAACTTATGAGGAACAACGCTGATCCCTCACGGAATGCACCGCCAAGCAGTTATCTTTTCCTGATTTGCGGCTAATCATCGGTGTTACCGGCTAATTATCAATGTTCCGGCTCAATATTGTTGAGTTCCAGGGCTTTTGCCGGTTGGGTGTTCAGCAGTCTGGGGGCTCGTGCAGGAGCGAATGGTTTGCGGGGTACTATTAGCGTGATGGGCTTGTTCTTGTGCTTTCTGACTGGAATTCTTTTTGGATAGGTGGTGCTCATTAATTCAGCTGCTATTTGTGGCCTGGGATGCTACATCGGAAAATATGAAACACATTTGCATCATCGGCATAGCTAATGCGATGGCTATGGGTTATTATCCATCTCTCATTCAGATCTGCAAGTCGGGGTACTGTTGCCCATTTCATCTGGATCTGGGGGTGGGGTGGATTGGACCGGAGAAATATCCTGCATGGGCTTGTCGGTGTAGAGTGGTCCCACATATTGGTATAATTTTGAGGCATAGAATGCGTCGCATTCAGGGTATGGGGCCGAGGAGTGCGGAACAGAGCAATTGGTTTAGTAGGCGTTGGTGGGTTCTAGACCGGTTTTGTTATACTCAAGGCTCACTCCTCCAGATGA